TTGTATAACGTGTCGGCAAAAGCCGAATTCTTGCAAAAGGCAAACCTACCGACTGCGCATCGTGAAAGAATGGATCGATAATCGACGAAGGCGTTATGTTGTAGGTACGCATACGTTGCGTATATACATATATTGTATATATATATATATCGAAGTACCCCTTGTCGATTCATTACGTCGATATCGGCCAGTGGACCGTTCTCGTGCTTGTGTATTCGATATACATATATATATATATATACATATATATTCATATCCTCGTAAAATGAGAAACAACATTTCGGAATAACGCGAATGTCAGGCCGGTCAAACACGTCCTTCAGTTAATATAATGAAAATAGATATGCGAAATTTCAAGAAAGGTGATCGGAACGATAACATTCGACGATAGAATCCCGGCCAAGGATGAGCTATACGATTATTACACGAAAATAATGACAACTAAATTATTTATAAAAGACAATTTTTCGATCTCGCGAAAAAGGATATTTCAATGTATGTCGTTCTATATCGGAAGATCCTATTTTGTTGTTTTTTGTTTTGTTATAAATAAAAATGTACAAATTACATAGAAGAAATAGTGTTCAAGTGAAGTTTTGATTATTTCGATTAGGATTATAATATATATCGCCATATTTTCCGGCATTTCCGATTCATCTTTTGTCGTCGTGTATAAAAATTGTATTTTTGTCGTGTGATATTTTAAAAAATGTAGAAAAGGGGCCTGGGGATTTAAGAGGGTGAGAAGACACGCGCAACGGTTTCATGTTAATCCTTATCCCTCATCGGCGACTCCTACTACTCTCCCTCTTATTTTCAGTCTGGTATCTCCCCTGCCGTGATATCGATCCTCTTTCTTTGCCACCCTCCTCAACCCCCGTACCAACGTTAGTTCGCTATTCGACCTAGTGTCGACTCATCGCACAATTCGAGATATATCGGGGTGGATTGCTAAAAAAACGATGGTTCCTTCCTTTTTGTTTCCCCCCCCCCACCCCACCATTTTATCCAACTCGAAAAGATTTGCCGATCCTTTTAGCATATCCGTAGCTCACGTATTCCACTTATACGTGNCCCACCCCACCTTATATTATGTTACTCCGAATAATAAAAGGACAAACGTAAATATTCTATCTAATTAGAGCAATGATCAATTCTATTTGAAGTTTCATCTCCTTGTATTTTCAATGCTTGTTTTTGAAGATGAGAACGCGAAGACGATCGATAATACCACACGTATACATATATACATATATATATATGTATAACTATCATCCTATGTCAATTTTTCTGTCATTTTTCATTCTTTGGAAGATGCGATCAATAATGATCGTTTGCTTGGAAACAAGTATTAGATGATGGAAGAACCGATCTTTCGAAAGTGATTCGATTTAAGAAGAAGAAGAAGAAGATGAAGAAGAAGAAGGAGAAGAAGAAGAAGAAGGAAGTTCAAACAGAGATCTGTAAAAATTTCAATCATTGCATTGAAAGGAAATGTTCATTGTGTCTGATAGGATTTTTCGAATAATTTGGTTTGTTCAAAAAAAAAAAAAAAAAAAAAAAGAACAACGAAGCTATAATCGTTTCGAAGCTTGTTTTGCGAATGTACAAGCGGAAATGTCGCTTCTTTATTCGCAAAGAAACAGTCGATAAATGGACCTCTTTCAAAGTCCAAGTAAAAATGGAAATACGTAGGAACTCAACCCTTTTTATTATTAATAACAGTTTCGAAATTCAACATGGAATTTATCACTAATGCGACTATGCTCATATTATATAAAATTATAAATATTATAAATAATTACATAGCTTCGCGTGTACCAAGATTCATTTGGAAAACTATCGAAATTGTTAATCCTTTTCTCTTTCTTTCGTTCTTTCTTTCTTTCTCGCTCTCTCTCTCTCTCTCTCTCTCTCGCTCGTTCGTTCGTTCGTTCGTTCTGCAGCTTTCTCACTCTTTCAATCTATTTATCTCTCGCTCTCATATTCCCAAAGATTTTACATATGGTTCAAAGAATCGGTCGTCAAAATAAGCGACTGAATCATCGCTCGTTACACAGATCGACAAATTCTATTTTTTTTTTTTTTTTTTTTTTTTAAA